TGTTCCCTGTAGAGCTCATCTAGAATCATTTCAACTGGTCATGGGGACTCTAGAAATGCCAATCACATTGTGGGCCAATAGGTGGTACAGAGAAGAGCGAGTGGCACAGTATGCCACACATTTGCTTGCTTACCAGCCTCTCCTTGGGAGAATGATGAGGCTTTCTATTCCAGTAAAGGACTGCTGTCTTGGACACCAAAGGGACAGTTCCCCTGTCCTATAGGGTTACTGTGAGTTGGAATTGACTCGATGGTAATGGCTTTGGTTCTGAGAGGGTGGCACAGATGGCTAAGCTCACAACTACTGTCTGAGGGAATTGTGGTTTTCAGTCCATCCTCCAGTACCGTAGAAGAAAGGTAAGGTGGTCTACTCCCAAAAAGTTACAGCTATTCAATCCCTCTGGAGCACAGTTAAACTCTGACACACCTGGGGTTGGAAGGGAGTCAATGGTATTGGGTTTTGTTTGTGTTTTCTTCACATGTTTATCACTGGTCTGGTTACTAAAGTTGGTAGTTTTCTATGTGTGTGTACACAAAAAACGTAGTCACATATATTTATCATGGTTGTCTTTTCTATCCAGTTCCACTTAGCCCAGGCCCTGTCCTTGGTGCTGAAGTCACAGCATCATGGCCTTCAGATTTTTATCATAGACAGAGAATGTGCTCTGTACCGAGACCTATCTCCAGCCAGCTATTGTGTGGTACAGAAGGAGGAACTATGTCGAGCTTAGGGCAAAGTGTTTGCCTATTAATCAGTAGCCCATCAAATTACCAAGCGTATACTGCTGTGGAGTCCTGTTCCCTGAATTCGGATTCATGTAGACTCCAGGTGGCAGAATAAGACTGAGCGCGTTGGTGATGCCGTTGGGTAAGCATTGGCCTGCTCCCTGCAAGGCCAGGGACTCTACCCCAACAGCGGCGCTGAGGGAGAAAGTTGTTCCTCTAAATATGTACAGCCTCTGAAAAACCGACATCGGGCTGCTGTAGATTGGAAATGACGTGATGACAGTGAGTTTGGTTTTTCTGGTTCAGCACGTTTTCCTTGGCTCTAATCTTTATGGAAGCATGGCACAAGATTTTCCTTCAAACCAGTGGGTTTGAACCACAAATCTTATGGCCTGCAGCCAAGTGCTTGATCACCACACCATCAGGATTCTTACAAAATACACCACAGCTAGAAAGTTGGACCCATGGATATCCTGGATGAAGCAACCCAGACCTGAATACATTTAAGATGCTCTAGAGTGGAAGCACCTACTTTGATGGATGAGACTGTGGGTCACTTAACTTATGAGAACTAGAATGGTGAGATCTCTGAGCTTTAGTTCAACACCAGGCATGGGCTTCTTGTAGATGAGCCACGGACTCTCCTTTCCCTCTGTCACTTATCAACACTGTGCCTTTCTAACTTTCTAAGTCTTTTGGTCTATGGAAGCTATGTTATCAACTTGGCTTTTCTCAGACTGTAAGTGTTTCCACTTGAGTCAATTTCTGAGGCTTGGTTTTTCACAAGCACCGTTTCCTATCATGTATGTGACTGCATGAAAATCATAGTTCTGGAATGTTTTGGACTGAGGAAATTCAGATGCAAGTACCTAATTCTATTTTATATTTATTTTAATTTCCTTTCCCCCAGAATGGCCCCATGGCTGTTGGCTTGAAACCACAGGAAGCCAGTGATAGGCTCATCATGTTTCAGGTAAGCCTTTTAGAGTCTATGGCCATTTAAACAACCCAAATATTACTGTGTTTTCAGCATGTGTATTCATATATACCCATAATATACATGTATATTAACCTCTCTTTATATTAATCAAAAAAACATTTCTATTGTGAAGGAGTACAGAGCAAATCAGTTTTCTTTTCCTGTAATTCACACTGTCATCCCCACAATGTCACATCATTTATTCTACTTCACTTCTGTGTTTTCTGTTTTCATTTCTCCTTCTTTCTTTCCTACAGCCTTCTGAGATTTGTCGTTGGCAAAATACTGCCCCCTTTAAGCTCAGATGGTGGATTATTCCAAGATGTGCCTACCTCACTAGTGTTGTGGTCCATTGTATAGATATGTCTATTGACTGAAGATAATTCCATAGGGATGAATTCCATTCCATTGAAGGGTGACTAAGTGCCATGGTCCAGGGGTTACCCCAGCTTCTATCAGATCAGTAAGCCTGGTCTTGTTTATGATTTGTTTTTAATTGTATTATTCTAATAGAGTCCTCTCACCGTGGTCAGTAGTGGTAGCCAAGCACTATCTCGTGCTTCTTGTCTCACGATTGTGGAACCTGAGATTCATATGGTCAGTGAGTCCACTGTATGTTCTCATCACTCACTCACTGCCTGCCACTGAGTCGATTCAGACTCATGGCGACCCTATCAGACAGGGTAGAGCTGCCCCTGGGTTTTTTGAGGCTTTAAATCTTTACTGGAGTAGACAGCCTCATCTTTCTCCTGCTGAGCTGCTGGTGGGTTCAAACTGCTGGCCTTGTATTTGGAAGCTCAGTGCGCAGCCCACTATGTCACCAGACCTATATATCTTCAATTTTCTTCCATTTTCTTTGCGCTGGATGGAGAATGACAAATTGTCGTACTTTTGATGTCTGCTCTTTATGTTTTTAAGACACCAGTCACTGCTCACCAATGTAGGAATTCGAACTTTATGTGTGAGGACTGTGTTATGTCAGTTGACCTGCCGGTCCTCTGAGACTGATCTTGAGCCCTCAGCTCAGAAACTCCCTTTCTCGTGTTTGGTTATGACTAAGGAGTTTTTGTTTTTAAACATTTGTATGGACGCATATCATGCAGTTCGATTGTTCAACCATATTGCTAAGGATTTTTTGTCATCGCCCCTAAGTATGCTCTGCTATTTGACATATTTGCAGGGTAGGTACATACATATGTAGATATATGTATTTATGTCTCTTATACACGCACACACACATTTTGTGGTATACCCATTCTCATTCCCACACCTGTTCTGCTTTCACGTGTATCTATTCATCCACTTGTAGATTATTAAATACATATTTTTATCAATATGTCTGATGTGGCAGATGGCATGGTACTGGTTTAAAAATATGATCTGGTATGTGTCCCATTACAGGTGGTTTTCATGTAAGTAATTACATCTACTTAATATCCATATTTGTCTGTTCTCAAAGGCTCTGAGGTTTGCTTGTCCGCTACACTTCCCTTCATTGCATGCTCATTCATGTGCAAATCATTTTGATGAGTTTTCACTTGTGTCCTTTGTTAGAATCAATTTGATAACATCTATCGGAAATACATCACCTATACTGGGGGAGAGGAGCTTTTTGGTCTGCCAGTCACGCAGTACCCTCAACTGCTCGAAATAAAGAAGCAGCTAAATCTTCTTCAGAAAATATACACTTTGTACAACACTGTCATCGAAACTGTGAACAGTTACCAGGATATGCTTTGGTCAGAAGTGAATGTGGAAAAAATCAACAATGAGCTCTTAGAATTCCAAAACAGGTGAGAAAGGGGACATTTGAACCCCTAACGCTTTCTTTTCCTCTTCCTTGGCCCAGATGCTTCAGCACCTCCTTTTGTCCTTTGTCATCACCCTTGACAAATGGTGTATGGCTTTCCCTAAGTGCAGGCTGGGAACCACACACGTCACCGAAACCTGGAGGAATCTCGTCGGAGGGAATTGATCTCTATCTATAG